ATGAATGAATGAATGAATGAATGAATGAATGAATGAATGAATGAATGTCTCTCTCCTTTGGCAGGATTATGTCCCCACTTCTTTATATTCTCATCTCCCCCCATAAAATGGCACCAGCTAGGTGGTCCACAGGTAGGTGGCAGCAGCAGCTGGCGCCTGAAGCGGAGACTGCCGGCTGCGCAGCACGTCCGCTGGAGGGTGAATGTCGTTCGAACTGCGAGGACAGTGACCGCTTTCCTTAGCGTTCTCTGTAGAGCGCGCCCAGGGTGTGCTGGGTGGGAGAGGGCACGAGGGGGGAAATGGGCTAACGCAAGGAGGAAGCCAGCGGATCCTGGGTGGGGGGTGAGGGGACCGCGGTGGCACTGGGCTCGGTCATCGCCTCTTAAGAAACATCCCTCCGGGATCGGGATGAGAAGGAGAGCGCTTTGGAGAGAGAAGCCTGAGAAACCTACTGGCTGGTGATGTTTGTCATCTGAAACACTCAGGAGACCAAGAGAGAGCAGGTGCGAGTACAGAAAGGCTTACGCTGGCAGAGTGACCAGCACATCCTGCATGGTGCCAGCGTCCATAGCAGCGCCAAGGGGCTTTGGCGAGAGTTGACGTGCCAGGATCCATCCCCCCCCCCCCCCCCCGGGCTGGTGCCATGCACTGGACTCTGCAGATGCCTCGCTTTGCCGCGGGGTGGCAGAGTCCCGGAACAGACGAGTCCCAAAAGACCCCGAGGGATGGCTCCGCCCGGGGACGGCAGGGAGGCCCCGCCATGGGGGGCGGAGTTGTAGCCGCCCCTAAACCGGTGGGACCGCGAGGCCCCTTTTAAGCTCGCGGAGCTTCTAGCTGCCTCCGCAATCTTCTCTCCCGCCAGTCTGTCTCCCTTCTACGAGATGGCTTCGGCGAAGACTTATGTGACCAAGTTCAAGTCCTTCGTGATTTTGTTCTTCACCCCGATCCTGCTGCTTCCACTCATCATTCTGCTACCTGACAAGGTCAGTTGTGTGTCTGGGCAGCCCGGCAGAACCCGGGTGCCCAGTGCAGTAACGGGCATGGAACCCGGGAATGCTGAGCTGGAAGCTCCCTGGGTCGCGTGCTCAGATGCTCCAGGCACCAGATAGGAGGTGTCCTGCAAAGAATCCGAGGGACAAAGAAACCCTAAGGTGAACACCTCCTAGGGTGCACCGATTGCAGGGCGCAAGAGCCGTTTGGGCAAACACGGAGACCTGGACGTTAGGACAGATTTGAATCACACAGACCCCGCCAAAAGCTTATTAGCCTCGAACTCAGAATCTCCTCCCAGAGTACACAACCAGCGCTATCCCAGTCAAAGATGCCGCTTAAGCCAATAGGGACTCTCAGGGCTGGGCTTTCCCTACATGCCTCTTCTCCAAGGAAAAGACATTTCCCAGCTGTAGATGCCTTCAGTCAGGCAACTACAGAAAGAGAGCAACGCCTGTGTGGATCCTGCCTTTGCCACATTCTGGCCCTGATTTTTGAGGTTCAGTTTCCCCATCCATGATCTGTCTATATTGCTCTCTAGCTTGGAAACCAAGGAAGCATTCTAAGTCCAAATCCTGCTGCATCCTGAAAGACAGCAGGATTTGGACTCAGAGTGATTTTCAGGCACTGCTCACTGCCTGCTGTGGCTGTGGCAGGAGGTGGGACATGTTCCCAGAGCTCACGCCTTGGGTGGCATGACACTGGGCTGCAGGGAAGCTGTGTCCCATGCCCTGGCCTCTTAGTGCTCCTCGGAGGAAGGGAGAGAATAAATGGCCTTGGCTGTAGGGCAAAGGAGGGCAGGAGCCCTGGCTGGACTCTGTTGGGCTGTGTGCAGCCAGTTTGGCGAGGCCAGAGCTCTTTGAAGCCTTTTGTGGCTGCTGGCTGCTCCTTCCTCCATTCCCTCTTTCAGCCCTTTCACTCTCAGCCCAGACAGGAAACCTTGCTTGGATCCTGCTTCCCCTCCACAGGCAGGTCTGAGAAAGAGCAGGACTCTTCAGAGAATGCTTTGAGAGGAGAGGGTGCACTTGGGTGCACTTCTATTCACTTCACATTGTACCTTTCATAAAGACTCTTTGCTCTCTGGGCCTGGGTGCCTTGATGGGTACAATGGGTGATTCCATTCTGACACTTTAAATCTTTGAGAGTAAAAGGGGATCACTCTGTCTGCTAGGACTGGGAAAGGGAATGTGCTGAGCAGAAGCCCCACATGGGCCAAGGATAGCAGATCAACTGTGATGGCTCTTCAGTGGCACACTGTTAGTGAGCATCCAGAGACTTCAGACTGTTCTTGTCTGTGGGAGGCATCCAAGTCAGAAAGCTGTGATTTTAGCTCTGCTGGTGGGGAGTGATGTTCCCTGGAATAATTATAGTCACTTGGTTGACCTTTCTGGTAGAGGACAATATAACCAAGACTCCACTTTATATTGCAAGTGCGCGCACACGCGCGCACACACACACACACACACACACACACACATGGGGGAGGCAGGTACAGAGAGAGACACAGAGACAGACAGAGTCAGAGAAGAGACTATAGTATCAGTGATCTAGGTTCCCAACTGGGGTGTGTATGTATACTTCCTGGGAATGAAGATTGGGGGACTGGGAGGCCATAGTGAAGGTTCTTCCAAAAACCTGTCTTCCTGTACCTTCTCTCCAACTGGATTGGGTACTACAAACCTGGGTCCTTGGCTTCCTATTTTCTCCCTCTGTGCCCCTTTTGCTCACCACCAAAGAGCACCTTGCCCCCACTCACCATGCCATCCTCATTGTGCAAGAAAACACAGAAATACATACAACTCACAGGACACAGAGAAAATTAGCCAGACCCAGGGGGCAGCCTGAGCCACTGTCCCAAACAAATGATGGCTCCTAGAACACCCTGCCCTCTGTGGTTCCTGGCCTTTCCCCAGAGTCTCTTTCTTTTTCTCTTCCCTTTGTTCACTTCCTGGACTCCCCTCTGATCCACTTTTTCTATCCTTTCTCTGACCCCTCCTCTGCTTTTAAAACTTTAAAAAAATGAAACAAGTGACAACTTTAATCACTTTACTTTGTTAAACTTGAGAGAAATTTTTATCTTCACAAGCCTAAAGTATCAAATAAAATGAGGTACACTCATTGCCTTATAATTAATGTTTTAATGGACAGTTCTCCAAATATCAATCAATTGATCTTTTGTTTTACACACACACACACACACACACACACACACAGAGAGAGAGAGAGAGAGAGAGAGAGAGAGAGAGAGAGAACGTGCACGGGGGAGATTTTGCTTACTTCATTTTTATTATGCAGTGTAATGAGCCAGATAAGAGCATTTTACTCAACACTGGTCTATATTTCCAACTGTGGCTCATTCAGATTGTGTCAGATGATAATGTCATAGCCACAGCACTTTGCTGTCACCTCAGGACACATGGCTCAGAACAGGCCCCTTGCTGACCAATGTGTGAGTGCTGCAGATGATCACTCAGCCCCGCTGGTTACCCTGTATGCTAGGCTTGGTGGTGAGTGTGGGCCTGCTTCCACCTCAGCTTCCAGTTGCTATTCCAGACACCTTCTCAGTGGCAGGTTGAGGTCAGCATTGGGTGCTGTTTCCTCACTGTCATCCATTTTGTTTCTTGAGACAGGATCTCTTAGTGGCCTGGATCTGGCCACACAGGCTGGGCTGGCCTGTCTCCACATCTTAGTGCTGGTACATGTGTGCCACAGCACCTGGTGTTTTTATTTATTATAGGGATCAAGTTCAGGTCCCCATGCTTGCAGGGGAGGCACTTTCTTGAATAAGCTTTCTCCCCATCCTCAATCCCAGACTTTTCCAACATCCTTTTCCTACTCTGCACTCTCCACTGACACTGTGAGAGTCTACATTAGGGAGAGTGTGTTGATTGAGTCAGCAGGCCTGAGACATCCTCTGGGCTTCCTGCTAGTGGGTGGAAATGAGGAGGCACTAGCCTAGTGGTCCATCCTCTTCCAAGGGGGGTCATAGGACATTTATTCAGAGTCTAAAGGCTATTAAGGAGTCTCTGGGTGTCCCATATTCTGTAGGAACCCTCTGAAGTCATTAATAAGGATGGGAATTGAGCCCAAAGAGGAGCCAAGATTAAAAACAGGAGAGGAGATTTGTGAATGACAGTGTTTAGAGTTACTATAGCATGATGGTAGACACAGCTGACTTTAGCATTATTACTGGCAATTTCTCTACAACATACCTTTTTATTGCCCATGCCCTCTACCACTCATCCTCAGAGCTCGCCCTAGTGGCTTTCAACCAGTATCCATCCTGTAGGAGAGAAAGGAAAGGTTCACCTTTGCTCGCTGATCATAGACTGAAAAACAAGGGGGGAAAAAAACTACAGATTCATTATTATTCACAGGAAATGAGTCCCTCCCCACAAGCCCATAGCAACTCCAAACCTCGAATACCCTATCCAAAGGGATGGGAAACCATGAGCCTGTTTTAAAACCATGTTTTAAAGGAATACTAAATGATTTTTAGGGTAATCCAGTGAGTTTAAAGAAACAAACAGTGGCCAGACACAAACTGTGTCTCACAGACTAGACAATAAAATGGTGCCTAAAATGGAGAGCAGTGGTATGTGACAATTGTTTCTAAGGTATGTGGGCAGACTTTGCATTTTTGGTTTTTATGTGGTTAGTAGCTTTGTTGTTATTGTTCAGATAGAGTCTTACTTTGTAGTCCAAGCTGTCCTGCAGCTCACTGTAGAGGCCAAGCTGACCTCAGACATGCAAAGATCCTCCTACCTCAGCCTCTAGATGCTGAATTTACAGGCATGCACCACCATGCCCAGTTCAGACTTCTGTCTTCCTTATTACCTTATGAGTTTAGTTAATGAGGTCTCAGAGAAAAGACCAGAGACCATTGTTTCTTTTTGGTAGGACCTTGCTTTAAGCAGACACACAGCCTGAGAGTACAACGTCTTCCAGAATCTATTGTCTTCCACCCTCCTGCAGTTCAAAATAATCAATATTTCAGGGTACTATCTTTTGGGGTGACAGTTCCTGACATCCTTCAATCTCATTTTCTTCCCACATCAGGAAATGTATAAATTGTGGAGATAACTATTGTGACAACTAGAAAGAATGCTACTCATGTCTATTGCATGGAGGATAAGGATAATGCTAAACATCCCCTGTTTAGAGAATAGTCCCCACAACAAGGACCTGTTTCCACCTTAGATGTCAGTGAATGGGATTGGGAAACACCACTTTAGTCATAGGGAGGTGTCCTGGGCTGTTTATGGGATGCAATCTTTCCTTGAAAACATTTGTTTCTTTATTGTGGTGCTAGAACCACACAGTAGGAAAAAGGGAGTCAGGGAAAGGTTGGCTCTTCTTGGCTGTCCTGAGTCTTGGAGAGCCACACTGCCCAGGAACAGGACATAGCCTTCCCCATCACCTAGACAGCTGCCCTGCTGTGAAGCTGAGATGCAGAAGTGAAGCCTGACAGGCCTCAGAACTGTCTCTTCAGTTTGTCAGGTGTGCCTATGTTATTATCATCATGGCCATCTACTGGTGCACAGATGTCATCCCAGTGGCTGTCACCTCCCTCCTGCCCGTCTTGCTCTTCCCACTTTTGAAGATAATGGACTCCAAGCAGGTAAGTAAACCAAGTAGGGGATGGTGACTTCCTGCTCCTCCCATGTATTTTCCTCCTTCTCTGAGCTCCTCTGAGCTTGCAAGGCCCAGGGATAGCTACAGAAGTCTAGTAGTGGACCCCTCAAGGACAATAAAGACAGATCACTCCAAGCTGCCTTTGAAATCAGTATCTGGCTTGCTTAGCTATCTAGGGAACTTGGGTATCAACCTTGGACCCAAGCCCGTATGTGACTGAGGACTTCTCCAATGCGGCATCCCTGCCACCCTCCAGGTATGTATCCAATACATGAAAGACACCAACATGCTGTTCTTGGCCAGCCTCATTGTGGCTGTGGCTGTGGAGCGCTGGAACCTTCACAAGAGGATTGCCCTGAAATTGATGCTCTATGTGGGGACCCAGCCTGCACGGTATGCAAACCTTCTTTCTCTGGCCACATGGCTCTACAGGGGACCCTGGAACAGGGAGTGGAGGGTGACAAAGCAGGACATCCAAGGGGAGGTGGAGGGTTGGCCTCTGGGTAGGACAGAATGATTCTGCTTAGGTCTTTGGGAATTAGGAGAGGAGAGGCTCTGTGTAGAACAATGATAATCTTGTACACCTAAGTGGAAAGCTAAGCTACCTACATGTGGGGACGCTCTACCACACTCTGGGTCTTGCTAAGGCAAACTTCCCTGCTAAACAGGACTTTCTTAGAACCACAGTTGAGTTTGAGGCCTCTTGCTGACCCAATAGCCAGCAGTATAGATGTCAGAAATGTTTGTAAGAAAAGAGATAGCAGGAGATCTATACAATTACAATTTGGTCATGTCTGTGACAAAAATTCCTAAAAGGAACAACTTAAAGGAAGAAGGATTTATTTTAACTTATAACTTTGGATGGCCCATGGTTGATCGGCATTATACACCTGAGCAGAATATCATGGTGGCAGAAGTAGGTGGTAGCAGAAATTCACCTATACCAGACAAGAAGCAAGAGAGGGAGCCAAGAGTCAGAGATCATGGCAAGATGCACCATTAAGGAAAAGATTCAATGATATACTCTTTCTAAGTAGGCCCCACTTCTTTTATTGTTTGAGAACTTTATACATGAATAAATGTGTTTTCATATCAAGTCCACTTCATCCCCCACTCCCAGTTCTTCTGCTATCCACCATGTGCCTTGCGGTGTAGCAGTGGCCCAAATGATAGGGGAGTACCTAACAACTCTCAGATGGACTTGAAGACTTCTCCCAAAATGGAACTCATATTTGGTACCATTAAGTGAGCCCAATCCCATGGCTGGCTAGGTTTTTTTCTTGTTTTACCACCTCCCAATAATGCCATCATATTATAAATCTATTGAAGGGTTAATCTTTTCATTATGCCAGAACCCTAGTGATCTCATGGTCTGTTCTTCACAGTTACACTCAGAGGTGTGCTTTTTGACCAGGCATTTCTTAATCCAGTCAGGTTGACAATAAAAATTGACTGTCACAGAGAAGAAGGATGGAAGGGACAAAGTAGGAAAGAGAGCTGATTAAACTGCCACCCCATGTTGAAACACCTGGTCTTGAGTTGACAGGAAGGGTGGCTCCAGCCCCTAGCTGTGCCCTGCGATGTGGCTGTAGGGCATGAAGACCTCTGGTTTTCCTCTCTGCCCCTCCTCTGCAGGCTGATGCTGGGCTTTATGTTTGTCACGGCTTTCCTGTCCATGTGGATCAGCAATACTGCCACCACAGCCATGATGATACCCATTGTGGAGGCCATGCTGCAGCAAATGGTAGCTGTAAATGCTTGTATGGACACCTGCCAGGAGACACTGGAGCTGCCGGACAAAGACAAGGCCACCGAGTTGCCGGACAAGGACAAGGCCAGCGAGTTGCCAGGTATATCCTGGCTCAGATTTTGCAACCATGGCCTTCCCTACTGCTGCCAGATGCTATGGCTTCCTCCTCCCTCCCAGTCTCTTTGTGCCATTCCTTAAACAAGCTTAGAGGAAAAAATAGGAAAATAGGTTTGATATTATTAGTATCAGCGTTGTGGTTATTACACAAGAGAAAGACCCTTTACTCAAGCTTGCAATGTTGCATTACTTAGCTGGAGATTATAACTGCTTCCATGATAGAAAGAATTAAGCATTCATTTGATAATTCACTTAAACGTCTTTGAGCACCTGCTGGATGCGTCTCACCCTTGCTACTCTATTTTCTTCAGGGCTGCCTTCTTAGCTCGCCTTGAGCAGGTCACCCCTTGCTTCACTCCCACAGGTCTTGGGTCTTGCTTCCTACTAGGCTCAGGACTCAGAAGATGCAGGATAGGGGCTGCTCCACCCTCTGTCTATTCCCCATTCTTCCTCAGACTCTGCATGGGAGGAACTCAGGTCCTGTGCCTGTTTTCTAGGCCCTGAATGAGGTCCTGGCAACATGGAGATGACCAGGCAAAATCTGACCACTGACTCTTGTGGAGCCCAGTGGGATGACCTAAAAGGGTACCCTCACCCAAATCACTTGCTTCAGGAGAAGCCTTAGGTGGGATGAAAAGCATGGTAGCTCAGAGAGGAGGACCTCACTAGGAGGAGAGCCATCTGAGGCAGGTGGAGATATCCTTGGGTGCAAGGAATGGCTTGAGAAACCAACAGGAAGGAGCTGGGAAATAGGGATCTATGACTTAAGTTTCTGGAATTGGTAAGTATATTGAGGTTCTCTTGGGAAGCCATGGTAAAACACTGCCGTGAGGTAAATGGGGCTGACTGTGATTTGGAGCTGGAGCTGAGGAATATGCATGCACCTGGCAAGGTGTATGCGTCACACTAACATCCGAGTAAAGAGCTTTGAATGGGCTGGGTGGCCCTCACGACTGACATGGCTAACAGTCCTGTGTTCACCATAGGAAACCCGGTGATACTTGAAGACCTCACTGTGCAGAAGAAGGATGAAAAAGACATAAAGAACATGTACAAGGCTATGAACCTAAGTGTGTGCTATGCAGCCAGCATTGGGGGTACTGCCACCTTGACCGGGACAGGACCCAACATGGTTATCCTGGGCCAGATGCAGGAGTAAGTCATGGCTGTGCCTTCAGGAGATATCACCATGGGTTTCTGGGGCTGGAGGTGCTTACTCAGCTATCTTCTCCTCCTGTCTTGGCCCTGGAGCCATCAGTCTAGTAGGTTGTGAGGATGAACTCATATAGTCTTTATGCCCCAGCATCCCTGCATCTCCTAACAGTCTTCCCAGGGAATGGAGACCTGATGTCCTGCACCTCATAGACAAGGCTGCTTTCTTCCATGGGGAAATTCCAACCTCTATCAATGGCTTAGGGCTTCTAGCTCATACAGGGAATGTGCCCTAGACTCTGATCTAACATTATAAGAAATGGCAGTGCAGTCACTGACAAATGACAGTGGTTGAATTCACAGAAAACAGTCATCTCTAAAGAGCCCCTCCCAGCTCATTGACATTGGCTGATGATGGCCAGGATCCTCTAACCTTCAGGATCTATAGACGGCACAGAGCTGGGTTGAGCCACTTATTGTCTTGCAGTCTCCTACACTATAGTCCTGCTAATTGTGTATTTCCTTGAAGACTCAAGTGCACTACAAGGGTAGCCTAGAGTGTCCAGCTTTGACTGTAAAGGGACATAGACTGTGAAGATCCCATGTCTGAGCTCTGCCTTGTGCTGGATGGGCTTGGAAGATCATGGAGGAGAGAGAAGTCTAGGCTCCACCATAAGCTTTTCACAGTCTTCTGAGAGTGCCAGATACAGGGAGAATTGGGCAGCCTGGCAAATAAATGTGTTAGTTAAAATATGTACAAATTATAATGGTAGGGAACAAAAAGGAGGTGGTGCCTCTTTTATGTAGACAAGAGCTCTGGACAGAGGTGGGAAAGGTATCTGGCACTGTAGCCAGGAGGACAGAATGGCAGACAGAGCAGCAGCCAGTCCATCAGATCAAAAACGTGAGATTCAGTAACTAAGGTCTTTTGATTCTGGAAGTGTTTCCTATGAGTACAACCCTAGAGCTTTTCATTCAATTCTCCTGCCAAAAGCACCCTTCCAGGGCTGAATGTGGGAAGTCCTGAGTGGGATTTATATCCTTGAGCTAAACAGGGCTAGTACAGGGATTATGGAGGCAAGGCCTGGGTTGGGTAGGCAGGGCTTAAAGAATGTCTTCCAGTCCTACCCTGGGAAATGTCCACAGGGAAGTTGTCACCCTACCCCCTCCTCCCCACCTTGCAGAAACACGGAGAGTAAGGCCTCAGAGGTGCCCGTGCACTCCTTAAGCTAGCTGTCAGCCAGCTCGTGTGCATGTGTGGCAAATGTTTGCTTTCCTAGAGGCCTGGACCACAATCAAGAGACATTCATAAGGGGTCTGTATCCACAGAAGGGTCACTAGTCATCCATTCTTCAGTCTCATCTCTTGCTGACACCATGTTCTGGGGTCCCTAATAACAATGAACTCTGGTGTCCTGACTCCAGGCTTCTGTGGCCTGTGGTCAGACCCTTCCCTCAGGGTTCAGCTGCCTGGCCTGTTCCCCACAGCTCAGCATGGCGGTGGAGGTACAGACCAACATTTCTTCTTCCAGGTTGTTTCCTGACAACAAAGACATCATAAATTTTGTAACTTGGTTTGGATTTGCCTTCCCTAACATGCTCATCATGCTGGTGTCTACCTGGTTTTGGCTCCGGTGTTTGTACATGCGATCCACGTAAGTACGGGCTGTTCTCAGGCTAGCATCTGATGGTGCCAGACTCCTGCACCAAACCCTCAGTCCTTGCCAGTCTGCAGAGTTCTTCCACCAGTAGTCCGACCTGATGGCTTGTCCTCCCATTCTCATCATGCCTGGAAGCTTGCTGCATCCTTGCATGTCTTGTTTCTTCACCCCAGAGGGAGCCTTCCTACCCTCCACCTGTTCACCTCCCCAGAGCTGAATGCCTGTTCAAGGGCCACCCTTTTCCCAGCTTTCCCTCTCCTCTATCCCACCTTAGACTAATTCACTCTGCTGAGCCCCACTGGGCATATCATATTCATATGCTTTGACATCTATCCTGGTGCTGTGATGGAACTCCTTCACCTCATCTGTTAACCAGGCCCTTCTGACTCCTGCATGTCTCCTGACTCAGAGAGAAAGAGCATGTGTACCATCTATGTGGGCCAAAGCAATTGAAGAGAAACCTGTCCCCAAATGCCAAGGCAACACAACTGGACACATTACCACTTGGTCACATGGGTTTAGTAGGCCATGTCACTGTGATCCTCTTGCTAGAGTTTATCCAAGTTAGTCTTAAGCTCAGACCTTCCCCGAGTGCCTGTGGTGTTCCCAGAAATGTGCCCGGCCTGGAAAGTTTGCCATTCTATTCCCAGCACACTGTCAAGTTCACCCAGAGTCACCTTTGACATAGCCAGACTTGGGGCAGAAACTATGACATGCGGCTCAAATAGGCCTTTTTGTTTGTTTTGTTTTTGAAGACAGTGTTTCTCTGTGTAGCCCTGACTGTCTGGAACTCATTCTGTAGACCAGCCTGGCCTCAAACTCAGAGATCCACCTGACTTTGCCTCCGAAGTGCTGGGGTGAAGGGCATGCACCACCGCCACCCGACTAAGTTGTTTTAGAAGATGCGACTTTCCCAGGGGCATGGTGACTGTGTTGGTGGGAACCACCAGGGAGCTTGAACCCAGAAAAAGATGGTTATCTGTGACCCCAAGGAAGAGACTTGGTAGGGATGATAAAAGGCTAAGAACCTGTGTCTTCATGGGGGAAAATGGGGCATTAAAAAAAACCAAAAACATTTTCTTCTGAAAGAGGAACAGATTTTACAAAATTACACTGTAAAATTGCTACAGCTAGTCTAAGCAATTGCAGCAGCCCTTACTAGCATCAGGAAGTGCTTCCCGCCAGCCATTTACCTTCTCTGTGTCCAGATACTCCATAATTCCCCCAACCCTAAACCATCAACGTCCCCCCCCACACACACCTCGAAGGAAAGTATTGGCAGTAGCTCTCTTCACTCAGCTTCTCCAATATTCACCAGCACTGAAGTCCTGCTATGCACTCATACTCTCCCCGGAGACTGATCAGCAGATGATCTGTCCCTTGAACTTCTGCAGGTTCACATCTTTGCATAGAAACTATGTGGCAGTAGAAATTACAGTGACTATCGGGTGTAGTAGTACAAGTCTGTAATCCCTGCCTTAGGAGACTAAAGTAGGAGAACAGGAGAATTGAAAGTTCCAAACTAGCCTGGACTTAGATCTTGTCTCAAAAAACAAAATCACAGGGTCAGCAATGGTATAGGGGTCAGCTGGTAAAGGCGCTTGCTGCCAAACCTGATGATCTGAGGTTGGTTCTCCAATACCACGTGGTGGAGAGAACTGATCCTACAAGTTGTCCTCTGTCCTCAACACTTGTATTGTAGTATGTGCACATGCATACACAACACACACACACACACACACACACACACACACACACACGCAAGTAAATGTAATAAACAAAACTCCAAGAGCTAAAAATGTGCTTTAGTGGTAGCGCACATCACAGAGCTGAATTCTATCGTCAGCACAGCCAAAAAAAAAAAAAAAAAGGAAAGGAGAGATACATTGCCCACCAGACATGATTTTAAGCACTATACATCAATGAATTAATCTTCATGACAACCTGTGAAGTAAGTGCTGGTATAGTTATTGCCAATATGCAGATAAAACAGCTGGAGAGATCATGTGGCCAATGGCACATCGTACAGGATGGAAGTGGAGATTGGAGTCCAGTCAGTCAGCCCCATAGTGCATGCCGAGAGTTGCTGTCCTGGTGTTAGGAGGACTACATTTGGCCTTAGATTTCCCTAAAACCCTAAAGTCAACTTTACACAGGGAGCTGGCTGAGCAGCAAATATATTAGGATACTACCAGTCTCCCAGCTAGCAGGTGACAGGGACACAAAGGCCCTGAAAGCTTAGCTGGCAGCCCCAGATACGGCTCACTCAGCTCTATGCAGCTTCCACTGCTCTCATGGACCATGGAATTCTGAACAGCATTTACCTAGGAAAAAATCAGGACTTCTGGCTGCAGGCAGTGAGGGGCACAACTTTTACCTACCCCAATCCTCCTTGACATGGTACTCTAACTCAGACACCACATGTAGCGTGGCGCACAGGTAGCCTAGTTTCCATTCCAGATCCTTACGGTAGAGAACAACTCAGCAGAAATAGAAGCAGTTCCTTGTCTTACACACTGCAGAACATAGAGAACCTGGGGATCTATATGCATCTGTGGCCTTCTGGACTAGCTGGTGAAGCTAAGAACCACATTTTCTAGCCACAGGAGGAGCCTCTGCTGTTCCTTGTGTCTTGATTGTTCTTAAGCTTTTCATCTGAAGATGTGTAGCAGTACCAAAGTCTTGGCAGAAAGCCTGTTTTGCTTGAGTTTATGGGAAGTCACAGACCTTCACCAGGACCACTAGGAATGATGTGTCATGTTGTAACTGTCTTGCACTCAAGCATCCTGACCAGCCTCAGCTGAAAATGGGACAAGTGTTCTTTCTGGAAGCTCTTCCCATCTGGCTCCATGGCAAGGTACTTGTGGACTCAGTGATCCCTTTCAATCTTTGTGGCTCTGAAGCATGTCCAGTTCACTGTGATGCACCCATAATGAAGGCCATTCTTCTGCAGAAGGACACTGTGGTCCCTGACCCAACTCCAGGTTGTCCACAGGATCTGCTTGCCATTCTCATGGAACACCACACTAAATGAACCCAAAGGAGAAGTGAAACTTCAATATCAGAAATAAAACTGAGCAAGGGCCAGGGAGGTTTGGTGTCATCACCAGAGGGTCCGGCATCAGAAGACTAAGTATACCATGAAGCCCAGAGTCTGTGCTGTCAGGAACTTTTTACCAGCATCAGCTAGGCCTAGGCTCTCACTGCCTGTTTATTGCCTAGAAATACCAAGGCTACCCCTTATCCTGGAAAGCAGGAGTCTCCAGAACAGCTCTGAAGTCTCTAGAATGGCAGGTAGCAGCAGGTCCATGCTTAGAAGAGCACAGACTCTGGAGCCGATGACAGCAGAGCCACTGCCACACTGAGAGGCACACTCCTATAAGGAAGGCCTTCCCCAGTTCAGCATGGAGGTCCCATCGGATTCTGCAGACACAGAATTCTCACATGATCCTGAAGTACTGCAGGAGGCCAAGTTCTGATGTCCTACTGTCCTTGGGAGCCAGCCATGCCATTGTCACTGACATTATCACTGGTGCTGATGTTGCCACAAAGATAATTCATATTCAGCATGGCTGTGGGAACTAACCCTTTCCATCAAGTCAGCTCTCCTGTAACTGCTGTATTGGGCCCTGAAAGGGTTCTAGAGGAAAGAGCTCTCCAGGGATAATATTCTTGGCCTTGTTGCACTGCTTTGAGGACAACAGAGGTGGGACACACATGTGACATATCCTCTGAGAAGAACTTGGACCTGCATTTTATTCACTAGTAGTGCCAGTTATCTACTTCATACTGTCCAGTTGCCTTCCTCCATAACTTCCTCTTTCCTGCCAGTTCAAGCCAACACCCCGCCCCCCAGGAGGCCATGCAAGCCACCCTGGCAGGCCCATCATCCAGTGGAACACCCTGAAGGGACCATCCCCGAAGTAGAGCCTAGGCTGTCTTCCTTCCTGTTCCAGCCATAGCTGCTGCCTACACTAGGTCTCTTGACTGTAGGATACCTACACCTACACCTCCAGGCTCTGGGAATTCAAGAACCCCAGGCCCTGTCTGACCAATTTTATCAGGGCCCTCTCCTTTCAAGACCTTCTACTCTCCTGAACCATTATTGATGGGAGCAGGATCCCAGCACTCCAGGCTGTGGTGGAAAAGCTTGGGGGTCATGTGTGGATGCTGTGAGTCTGGATCTGCAGGCTCTAGAGCTTCCCATGGCCTTCTCCCTGGGAACCCTGGAGCACAGTCAGTTTTCCCTTTGCTAACGGCAATATCAGCTCTGCTGTAGGACATGACCACCACGTTCTACCCTCCCACCCACCTGTGCTACTCTGCTCATCCTCTCAGCCTTCCAGCTTCTCCTTTCCTTCTACTGCTGTTCCTGTGACCTGGCTGAGATAGTGGTACACCCCGTTTGTACCACTGCACCCCTAGCTCTGTAAGTGTTTCTGAGGTGCTTTGGGCCTTCATCCTCTAGCTCTCGACAGTCTCTCCTAAGATGATCTTGAGGGAGGGAGGGAGGGAAACAGATGGAAATCAGAGGAAGAAAGAGGAATGGCAGGACCATCCAGGTCCCAGAGCAGTCAGGACGTGATGTATCTGGCCACAGGGTTCTGTTGTGAGTCTAACAGGCTCTGTCCCAGCAGCCCCCAGGTCATTTCATCTGCCCTGACATTCTCTCATCTTTACCTGGTCTAGTTTCAAAAACTCTTGTGACTGCTACGGGCAGAAGAGCAGGAACAATGAGGAGAGTGTCAACATGGTGCTGCAGGAGGAGTACAGGAAACTGGGGTCCTTGACCTTTGCTGAATGCAACGTGCTCTTGTGCTTCATCCTGCTTATCATCCTATGGTTCTCCCGAGACCCTGGATTCATGCCTGGCTGGGTGTCCATCGCCTGGATCAGTGGAAAGACCACGTAAGTCGATGTGCACAATGCTGTCTAAATGTGACTGTTCTCAGCAACAGGTGACAAGAGGTGGGTACGGCTTGGGCCCTGTGTTTCAGGGCTAGGTTTTAGAGGGACATTCTGTGGGCTTTCAGGTGCATTCGTTTTCTATCAGTCTTCATGATGAAACTGCAAGTGCATTTGTTTCTGTGGCTCCCTCATGTCCCACAGAAGACTGAACCAAAAATGCTTGGTGAACAGGGTGGCCAGAGTCCTGGTACAGTTTATTAGGTTGAGAGTATGTCCCTTAGAGCCCTAGTATCTGCCTCTTCCTTTCTTACCTTTCTTTAGAACCTATCCAAGATGTATCATAGTTACTTAGAAACCTGGCAGGAGAGGGTATATGTGGATTCTCTCTTGGCTCTGGTAGGGAAGCATACAAGTAAAGTTGAGGAATGACTATCCTAGTAAAGGCAGAAGACGTGGGTGAAGAGGTGGCTGCCTGCAACTGGCTACTCCATCTTGGGTACTTCCCTTAGCACCATAATCCTTGAGGTCTAGTGAATCCATAAGTATAAATCTCCTGGTTGGGAAAGCATGATGCTCACAATGGATCAGTGTAGGCTGATGGGGGAGTGAAATTCTGGAGAGGGGGTTCACCCAAAGTTAAAGGCCAAGAATTTCAAGTTATTTATTATATCCAAGACTCAGCCTCCTACCCACTCCTAACCTTGACTTTGGGCCCTCTGGTTTTCACACCTAACAGAGCCTGTTTCTTCCTGAAGAAGCATTTAGACATGAAACTGTGGGTAAGGGAAAATTTGTTATATAACTACCACTGAGTTCCTATCTGTGCTTCCCTATGTAGTTATGCCACTGATGCCACAGTGGCCATCTTTGTGGCCATCTTGCTTTTTATTGTGCCTTCAGAAAAGCCCAAGTGCAACTTCAGCAGCCAGACTGAGGAAGGTAAGGCTTCTCTCAGTGGCTTTACAGCCATCGTGACGGGGTCCTGAGGACAAAGGATCCCCATGGGATGGTCCCTGGGTCTAGAGGGCAGAGAATTCTGTCCTACCAAACAGGACTGGCCCCATTACAAAGCCTAGAGAAATGGAGATTTTAAAAAATACTTTGCTAATGTCCAGATGGTGTAGATTCTTTTTTTAAATTTAAACATTTTAAATCCTACAACACATACAGAATGTGTTCCAAATTCTCCATAATGGTGTCATTATTTTCTCTCCCTCCTGTTTTATAAAGTTGCCATCCAAGCACACACAGCCTGACCCCACTTCCTTTGTTGTTTTGCTTCTTATTTTGGCTCTGGGTTATACTACAAACATTCCCACTATACTACAGTTGCCAAATTGATCTTCTCTAATACTTTATCACATACAGAGGTCCTGTAACCATCCTGCTATGGAATATTTGTGCATTTTGAATTTTTTAAAAAACATTTTAAATCATACCCTCCCCAATCCTATGTGTGTGTATGAGCTATAGTGCATGTGTGGAGGTCAGGGGACAACTCTTAGAGTTCGTTCTCTTATTCCACTATGTGGGCCCTGGACAGTGAACTCAGGTCCTCAGGCTTGGTGAGAAATACCTTTTCTCCCTAATCCATCTCACCAGCCCTGAACTTTTCATGTTTATAAGCTAAACATTTCAGATTTAGCTTTTTCTTTGAAGGCGTTTCTTTAGGCTAAATTCCTAGCAGTGTCATTGCCATGGTGAAAGAATACAGTTGCCCTAAAATGTTTTAATACATTTTAAAATATATAACCTAATGGCTTTTGAAAAGGTGGTTCTGACTTACTATGCCCTCAACCAAGCATATAATCAAATACTCCCCAGCAAGGGGTACAGTGATTATTGCAAATCTGCATATCTGGTACCTCATTATCTTTACTGGCTAATGTCTCCTGGTTATGTCTCTTGCTTTCTAATGTGTGTATGCATTTGTGCACACACACACTGTTTGTACACTTCTAATGTACATGTGTGTGCTGTTTTTTTTTTTTTTTTTTTTCATAGAAAGGAGAACTCCATTCTATCCCCCAGCACTGCTGAGTTGGAAGTTCACCCAACAGAAAGTACCCTGGGGTGTCGTGTTGCTCCTGGGGGGAGGACTTGCTATGGCCAAAGGATGTGAGGTACTTTGTTCAGCTCTAGTTGGCCCCTGAATTCTAAGAAGTGGCAAATGTCACGATCCATTCCACTTTCCATGGCTGTCTGTCTTCACCATAGAACTGCATATTCTTTAAGTAGGGGACTCTGTACTGTCATCCTGAGGTGGGAGGCAGGGAAGTGTGGGAGGCTGAGGATGCTGCAGCCTTGATGAATCCTAGGGAAGTCTCTTTGGCTTCCTCACCATGGCCCATGGGTCCTCTACTTGCTGAACTTCTTGTCATGGTACCAGAATTTTAAAACTTTTTCTCTAGCTAAGTACTTAGCAGCATAGGAGAAGATCAGTTTTTAAGGGAAAATGCAATTTTACTTCCTGAGCCAAACAGGCCGAGCTAGCTTGGGGCTGCTATCACAACCCATCTATTCTAACCCCTCTCTCTGGCTCCCTCTGCCTCTCTCTTTCTCACTCTTTCCCCTCTCCCTTTCTCTTCCTTCTACCCATCCCATCCTACTCATTTATCCTTCCTTCCTTTTTCCTTCTTCCTTCCTATTTTCTTCTTAATTCCTTCTTCCTTTTAACCATCCCTTCTATACATGCCTACATTCATCCAACACATTCAGCCATCTTTCCATCCATCCAGGAACTTGGATATTAGATAGATTTAAACTGTATTGTGTTTGCAGTTTCCTCAGCATCTAGGACAAAGCCTGGTGTGCCATGAACCCAATCATGCTATTTCTTTAGTGTGCACACAAAATGCTAGCCTCAGAACCATATCCCCAACCCAATATATAGGTCGTATATTTATGTAATTTAATACATATTTCAGATGAACAAATCCACCAATCTAATTACCTCTTTCTCTACCATTCCTCCACAAACCAATTTATTTCTCTATCTAGCATTTTTTTTTTATACATCAAACATACCTAGTACGTTTCTAAATATAGGCCAGGCACAGACATTACTGAAGACATTGAGACATAGCATCTGTTTTTGAAGACTTCACAGTCTAGATACCAGGGTTTGTATATAAGAACCTTTTGGGAAGAAGTAACATAAGATCAAAGACATACCTGGTTGAGGTTTGAGGTTTGAGAGGCCAACATAAGCCAACATTCTAAGGGTCTGACTTCAAGATAGCATGCATGGCCTTGACCCTGAAGGCAAAGGGAAGCAGCCAGGAATGACTTGAACAGATGCACATTTGAGAGCAGCCATGGTGACATCTGGAGTGGCAGTCTGAGGCCAGCAGGGCTAGAGAAGAACCAGTGGGCTTTCTGGAGTCTGCACTAACTCCTTGGAACTTGACCTTTCTCCCCTGCACATTTGCCTTTATTTTGATATCCAGGATACCTCTTTCTCCTGCCTTCCTCCTTTCATTGTCCCTGCTCTGCCTCTGCTGGCTCTTCTCCAGTTCTCCCATCAATATGATCATTTTCCCAGGCTCTGCCCTTGGCCTCTTGTCTAACTACTTTTTGCTCCTATCCCAGAGTTCCAAGGCTAAATCCTCAATTTTTGGCCCACACCATTCTCCCAAGCCTCAGGAATGTGGAAGACTAAGGAAAATGTGGATAAGAGCTGTCTGGGGTGACTTGTGACTGACTGGGTACCAGAAATTAGCAGAACAAAAAAACCCCAGTCTCACTCTCAGCAGCAGTGAAGGGGGTAATCATTCATCAGCTCAGGATCCCAGAGAAGGAAACAGAATCTGGACTGAAGAAGAACTTAAATTGGGGCATGTTGAACCTGATGTGTTCACAGAGAGTTTGGATAGAAACTTCCAGATGACTTCTGATGTTTAAATCTAGTTAATAAATCAGCTGAGCCGCAAGCAAAGTTGGAGGAGCCAAAAGATTCAGGAGGATGATGAAAATTTTAGGGATTGATTAGATTACATATGTGCAAGGAAAAGAATTAGAAATGGAGTAGACTAAGTTCCCTGGAACCTGGAAGAGTTATAAACCAGGAGCCCTGAAACGATGGTTTCCTATGTTTCCTAGACATCAGGGCTCTCCGAGTGGATGGCAAGACAGATGGAACCCATGGGCTCAATGAGTGCCGCTGCCATCACCTTGATCTTGTCCTGCGTTGTTGCAGCAACCACAGAGTTCACAAGTAACGTGGCTACCACCACCCTGTTCCTGCCTATCTTTGCCTCCATGGTAAGTAACTCTTCTGGAGAAGGAAAGGACATTTTGTGGGACGTTGTGAATCCTGACCATTTCCTAAATCTTGAGAGAGGCAGTAAACTTAGGATCTGGAGCCTCACCAGGCGTGAAAGCCCAGAGAGAGCTCTGGCTTTGATGTGGACTTGTGTGCACTTGAAGACCCTGGTCTTCAGGCCCCCTCAGTGCTTGGCCTGCTTGACTCTGTACTTCCCTATCAGCGCCCAAAGCATCTAACGTGGACCAGGTCTTCAAACTTTATTGCATTTATGGGCCACTTGGTTTGGGAGATGGAGTCAGGATGGTTGCGAGTTCAAGGTCTGTCTGATCTACATGGTGAGTTTACAGTGACTTAATAAGACCTTGTCTCAAACAAACAAACAAACAAACAAACAAGACTGGAGTTATAGTTTAGTGGTAAAGCACTTGTCTGGTATGTTCAAGGCCCTGGTTCAGTTCCCAGTACCACACATACCATATACCACTACCACCACCACAAAACAAAAACTGCACAACTATTATATTAACTATGCAGGTTATTTTTCAAGATGGTGGGAGGAGGACATGTATTACTGACTGAGACTATAGAAAGAATCCCAGGGGATGTGGGACTTGAGAATGGGAGAATTGGACAGGTCTTTCTGGCAGGATGGGGAGAGAACATGCCTGAAGACTTCCCAGTGAAGAGTGGGGTCACTGGGGTCTGAGATAGAGAATGGAAGTGGTAGAGGAAGGGCTTCTAAATGGTCTTCAGTGTTCTATGGGCAAGCTCAGTTGTGAGCTGGGAGTTAGGAGGAAGCAAAGCCTGTAGGGAAATCAGCTGTCATCTGTTCTTATGTTCTTCCCTCTGTCATTCATCAAAAGTAGTGTTAACCTCGGGGTGTTCAGGAAGAGCCAAAACACCTGAACCCCCTTCTTAGAGGTGAGTTGGGAGTCTCTAAAACATACATGAGCCATAGAGAACCTGAAAGATGGAGCCATCAAAGCCTGCCCTGAAGAGGAACGGGGAAAGGCTATGGTTAGTCTGAGCTCAGATCCAACCCCAGTGCTGAAGTTGATAAATTTTCATCTAAGCAGCATGGAGCATCCAGTTCAAAAAAGCAAACCTGGGTGTCTGTTTGTTTTTTCCTTTTATTCCCAGGAAGGTCAGAGCTGTTTAAAATATCAAGGTAGCTGTCTTCTTCCTTAAGCAGGCTGCTCAGGCAAGGGTTAAGAAAGTGGAGAAAGAAGAGGCAGAGGAGGAAGAAGAAGAGGAGGAGAAAGAAAAGGGGAGGACTGGAGAAAAGAAGGGGAGGAAGAAGAAGACAGATGTAAGAGGACAGGGAGGAGGGGAGCAAAGGCTCTAGCTTTGTCATTTCCTACAAACCCTGTGAGCACAAACAGCCCTAACTACGCGAAAACAAACTTTAACCCATGGAGGTAGCTGGCTCCTTTGAAAATAAGCTCTGCTATGGGGCTGGAAGGATAGGTCAGTGATTAAAAGCAACAGCTGCTCTTCCAGAGGACCCAGGTTCAATTCCCAACACCCTCATGGAGTCTTACAACCACCTGTAATTCCAGTCCCAGGGAATCTGACAACCTCTTCTGGCATCTTCAGGCACTTGCACACACACAATGCATACTCAAACATTTAGGCAAACACTCATACATGTGAAGTAAAAATAAGTAAAATCTTTTTAGAGCCAAAATCTGCCAGCAAAATTGCCCAGGACTACTTTTAAGTCCCTTCACATTCCTGCCTGGACACCTACATGAGGAAAGGGGAATATAGTGAATATCCAGTTGAGTGGCACTGTGTGGACACACCATCATGCTGTTGCTGGCCATTGAGTCGGTTTCCTGCATTTTGATGACAAATTATTACAATGAGATCTCTGCAGACCTGTTTACACACAGAAATATGCATGATAAAGAGTCCTTTTGACAGCTGCTAACATTATGTTATTTATTTATTTATTCAATAAATACGTAATGAATGCCAACTCTGTGCTGGCAGATGTAGCAGAATTTTAAAATGTTGAATAAAAAGGTGGAAATCACCTTCCTAATACAAAGTGATCCCATAGAAGCATTTGTAAGCAAGCAGGGGTGACTCCAGTTCTGTAGGCTGCCTCTGTCTGTGACAAAGCAGGCCTGTGGTTCATGGGATATTTTAAGATTTCTATGCAATCTAGAGGCACAGTATGCCTTTTAGCTCACAGTAAGTGCCCCCAGAAAACATATGGACTTAACTGAGGAGCTTCAAAAAGACCTCCAAGTGAGATGGGTACTGAGCTCAGCCTTCTGTGGCCATTAGTTATTATGCAGAGGTTCAGAGAGACGAGCCAGACATAGATGTGAAGATTGGAATGTAACCCAGACCTTAGGGTTGAGGTCTGAAGCATGGCCTGGGGACTTCTGTGTGTTCTGTGCTGTGAGTTGCAGTGTTGTGTGTCTCTCTAGTCTCGTTCCATCGGCATCCATCCACTGTACCTTCTGCTTCCCTGCACCTTGAGTTCATCACTTGCCTTCATGTTGCCTGTGGCCACCCCGCCTAATGCCCTCGTGTTTGCCTATGGACACCTCAAAACTATTGACATGGTAACAGCCCCTTTTATATTCTCTTATTAGATGAATACTATTGGTATAAGGGTTGTACCATTTATGAATAATGTGTGTGTTTCAAAGGGATGATGTCATATGGGGCTGGGGAGATGGTAAAGTACTTGCTGTGTGAGCATGAGTACCTAAGTTTGTATTCTCAGCACTTACACCAAAAGCCAGGTGTGATGGTGCATGCCTGTGACCCCAAGTCCCAGGATGGTGATGAAATCAGAAGCATCTTGATCTTCTTGGCCAGCCAGTAAGTTAGTGAGCTTCAGGCTCAAGGAGAAACTCTGTTTCAAGAAAAAAAAAAAAGCCTGCCGTGGTGGCATACACCTATAGTCCCAGCACTCAGGGAGGCAGAAGCAGGTGGCTAGCTGTTAGAGGACTGCCAAGTCTACAAAGTGAGTTCAGGACAGCCAAGGTTATACAGAAACCCTGTCTCAGAAAACAAAACAAAAACAATGACAACAAAAAAGAAGCAGAAGGCTGGAGAGATGGATTAACGGTTAAGAACACTTACTGTTCTTACAGAGGACCTAGGCTCTGTGATCAACACCCATGTTGTGGCTCACAGCTATCCATAACTCTTCAGGCACCAGGCACACACTTGTACACATACAAACATGCAGGCAAAACACTTATACACATAAAATAAATCTAAAAATGTAAAGGCAGAGAAGTATAGAGGAAGACACTCAACACCAGCTTCTGGCCTCCAAGCATGCAAGCGTGAGTGAGCACACTTGCACACACACAAGGAAAGAATAACAGAAGGACATCATGTCATCTGAGAGCACCATTCAACACCTAGACCTGTATTTGTCATTTTTGTTTATGGTGCAGCTTTTCTTGATTATTGAAATGATCTTATATTTCATATGAGTTCTGTTCCCATGGAATATGCTAGAAACCCCTATCTGGAGAAACCTTTGTGGGTCCCTGGGAAGTCTTGGCTGAGTACTTGGAAGGGATGGAATGGGGTGCTCACATGGCAGTAGAATTCACAACTAGCAAGAACCCCGAGGACATCCAGGAAGGACCCAGTAGTCAGAGAGACTTGTGGGGTATCTAAAAAGAGGATGCATAATGAGGAGCCCATTTGCCTGGGAGTCAGTGATACCATGGAAGCAAACACATTCACAGGCAGGGCTTTTCACACCAGGTTTGGCTTTCTCACCTCTGATGAAAGAAGGACAACTCTGTGGCTCTGGGTTGGGGATGAGCTGAGTAGATGAAAGGAGGAAGCCAGACTGGTACAGGCAGTTGTTAATGATGTCAGAGCCTCTACCAGGGCACTTTGGGGCTCCTTCTACATTTCATCAAATACATGAATCCCAGAAACCACACTCTGCAAATTTGACCCAGAACCCCAGAAAAACGTTAGGAAAGCATACAGAGTGGGTGGTAGAAGGCTGTGGGAGGGTCACAAGGAGTGGCTATTGTTTTATATTATCTCTCAAAGTCATTTTCCAACACCATAATGGGCATAGAGAACCCATCTGTTCTGGCTCCTTCCCAGGGATTCCTTCAGCAACAGTGACACTTGAGTTGCTTTGTCTGGGGATGAGAGGGAACCTAGGGTGCAGGATCACAGGACCCAGTCAAGATCTGAGTTGCTGACCTATCGTGTTTTTATTCTCTAGGTGAAAGCAGGATTGATAGTGAAGTTCATTGGAATCTCAAGTGTGTTTTTGTCGGTCAACACCTGGGGACGGTCCATATTTAACTTGGATGTTTTCCCTGACTGGGCCAACTCAACAAGAATTGACACTTAGGAAGAGTCACAAGACCACAAGCATGACCCCCTCACCCTTCTAAGGACTATGAATCTTCTGGCACACCTTGCACAGAGTACTGGTGCTCAAACTTCTGTGTGACCCAATGACACCAACCCCCCTAAGATCTAGCCAACTAGCCACCACTTCCTCCAGACTCAGATTCAGGGATGATAATATGTAATTATCAGAAGGGAGGGGAACCCCTTTGAGAGGCCACAAGGTCCATTTTCCCAATACCTTGTCATCTCCCTTGGGACAGGCAGGACAGAGAGGGACCAGAACTCAAGATCCTGAACCATTTGTCTTTGAAAGACTACTGGCCCCATGCTGAGCTCTGGTTCTCACATGCTTATTACCACAGTGTCCACATGGGGATCAGACCACCAGGCTGAGAGGCCAGCCCCTGTGCCTCTTCTGGATGCCCCCAGATCACCTCTGTCACTCTAAAGGGACTTCCTGTCCAGGACAGAGCTCTGCTCTTGAATAGCTTCCCCCTGACAGAGTGAGAGTCAAGGCCTCCTGAAGACTTGGACTCTACATGGTGCCATTACCAAAGGCTGGGCAACCTGAGGTGCTAACATCATGACATTCCTGCTCACCCTTGGTTGACCTGTTCCCTACTTGCCTCATATTAAATAAGAACTTAAACCGCTTTTCCAGATCCCCAGTGAGCCTCCTTCAACTCCTAGATCCCTTTATTGTTTTAGCCAGCTGCTCAGCTCCCTGGCTCCCAAGAGAACCCCTGTTTTTCCAGGGAGCTCAGTTTGATTCTTCTGGGAATGCTCTTCCTGCTAGCCCTGTACAGCTGGGATCACACTCCGAGGATGAACAGTGGTGTGTCTGTGGGGGATTGTGTCAAAGCAGGCTACCTGAGTCTTCCCTTGGCTAGATCCAGAGCAGATTCCACAGCTCATTTCAGAGGGCTGGGCCACTGCACAGTTTATCTGTCTCGCTGGAGTCTGAGCTCCTCTGGGAAGGCCTTCTCTCTGCTGGCTGTGCATTGTGGCCAGGCCTGTTGGCAATAGAGCATGGCTGAGAATGAGCAGAGTCCTTGTGGGTCCCTGAGCAGACAGACCCTGACACAGTAAATTGACAGACCCAATGGTATAGGAAATTCAGAATGGCCATGGAAACCCATAGTGCCCCTCACATGAAAGGGAGACAGGAGAGGAAGTGCTCCCTTGTCCTTCAGGGACACTCTCTTCCCTGCTTGTATCCCTCTGAAAAGAAGCATTGATGGGTAGATAAGGTCCATGAATGTTATTTTTCTGGGCAGAAGACAGTATGGGGACCCAAGGAGTCCCCATCAAAGGCCAAGTATCTGTCCGGTTCCTTGGGAGAGATGACTCCTGACCACACTGTTGAAGCTTGCTCTTGTCAAAAACTCTGTCTGCTATGGAAAGTTCCAGTGCGCTGACTGGTCTGTGATTTCATGCCTTGTGGAGGAGACAGAGGGAGGTAGATGAATAAACAGTTATTCTCTGTCCACCTCCTAGGTGTCTGGCCTTCCTGGACCCAGTGAAGTTACCAGTTATCATATTCTATATTTGTGGCTACCCTGTGAGACAGCCAGTGTTAGGATTCTCACTTGTCCTTGAAGAAAAACAAGGCTCATAGTATCTATGGCTAAGTCCAGCTAGTGGCAGTTCTGGGTCTCCTACATCTAGCCGTGAAGGGTCTTGGCCTTACTGGGCTTATTGGGAGAGGTGGATAGCTGAGAGTCAGCCTGGCTTACCCTAAGGCCCTGCTTGCCCAGGAAAGATCTCTAAACATGAGGCCTTTGTTGTTGCTCCCTCTGAGATGGGTTCAGGACAGTGCTAAAGCAGATAGAACTGGTCCTTTTTCTAATACTCTTCCTCCTGAAGGGTGTGATAGGAATAGTGAACCCCTGCCACCATATCGTATTGATGGCCTCTTTTTACCTGACTCTCTGATCTCTACTGCCCCAGCCTTGCTCACCGTGTCAAGCATGTGCCCATTTTATAGATCAATACATTCTTGACTTATTGGTCATACTCAGGGTGACCTGCTCTGGCTCAGCCACAGTGTTGGCTCTAGGACTCAAGAGCAGTCAAGGATGTCATTCACAGTAGGGCAGTAGAGTATCTCAAGTGAGCACTGAAAGATAAGTAGCTTGGCCAGTGGGGAGGAAAGAAGTTGGTAGAGTGGGTGGAGGACTTTAGTTCTAGACTCCATCCAGCTGAGGGATGAAAAGAAGCTTTTGGAGAGCAGGACTCAAGCGGAAGAGGATGAATCAAGGCTGTCTTTGGGTGACATCTCTTGCAGCTGGGTGGAGGTGCACCAGCATGCTCGGCTTGTGTTCATGTGGTGTGCTTTGGATTGCAAACAACTGAAAAGCAAGTGGACAGTGCATTTCCAAGGGCCTTCTGGTGTTTGCTTAATGGGAGTGAGGAGGTAAGATTATCCAGTGACTCACAGGCTACAAAAGGCTTGAGCTCCACAGTCCCCTCTGTCATCCTCAGAAAGTCATGCTTTTGCTCTCCCGCATCCACAGCTATGTTCCTTCCAGGAATGAAGACAGGGTACAAAAGTTGGGGGTTCTGATGGTGCCAAAGTACATCTTTCTCTTTTGTTAGGGAAAATACAACCTCACTCAGAAGCCCTATGGAGACTCTCCATTATGCCTCACTGGGTAGGACCACGGCAAGTGCGCTTCCTTTGACCAGCCACTGACTGAGGAGATGGGTTTCATTTGCAATATCAAAAACTGGGAATTGGTCTGCTTCCTGATCAAGGGATTTCCATTCACTAAACAAACGAGACTCTAATTCCTAGCAGGAGAAAAGGCAAGGCAGGGGGAGCTGTTGGGTAAGTAAAAGTGTCTGGTGCCATCTCTCCACTTGGTGGCTTCGTCTTCACCGAACGCAGTAGGAAAATGTTAGGCGATAAAAACAGAGTAGGTGACTTGGTTAGCAAACAGCTTCAGCAATGCCTCCACTTTCCAAGGGCTAGGCTTCTTCTGAAGGGCCCACTGGACCCCTATGGTCATAGTGTACACCATAAACCCATCTGGTCCCCACATGTGACATGGAGCAAGTCATTCTGCATCCCAGGCTTCAGTTTCCACTGTGAAAGGGCCAGATTAGCCAGTCTGTATGGGCCTTCCCCAGAGTTGGGGTCCTCATCTTACATGAACACCCCCCTCCTTCTGCCAGCTATAACTCCTCCTCCAAATGCCTGTCTCCATCCCTGTGCATCAGCGGAGAGTGAGCTGTGACTTCCAGCTCCCATCTGAAGTTTAGCCAGTTGCATAAGGCCGTCTTTGGGCAAAACCTATATTTGTCTTCAAAATTTTGTATCCAGTCTCTTCTTTATACTATATGAACCAGACATGTGGAATCACAATTAGCTGAACACAAAATTCTGACCATTATTGTCTTCTGAATGTATTTGCCAGGGACTTAGGGGTCCATAAAAATCTCTCATTCCAAAGGCCTAGGCCTAGGGACTCCCGATCTTCTGATCACCTAATTATGTGTTTCCAAGGGCAAGCTATGGGTCTCCATCCCTGTTCCCTCTAAACTCTCACAGTTTCTTTGGTGCATTTGCCTGGTACAGGTGAAGTCATTTCTCCCCACACCTCTTGCTTGCAATAGACAGGCTTTGGCTCCAGACTCCAGGCAGAGCATCAACTCACTACCAAAGTAACCCCTGAAATGGATAAAGATACTCTTGGTAAGACTATGGTAATATTCAAATTTATAGAAATAAATTATTGGATTTACTGGATTGTCTAGTGAGAAACTATACTTGGCTGTCCCATCCTAGAGCCTGGGTCCCTTCTTCTTAGTGGCCTCTTCCCAATCCCACAGCAAAACACTCTGTCTCTTGGCCTTAGGGGAGGTTTCATCCTCTTCCCATTCAAAACTCTTTCACTCAGGTGAATGTCCACACATCACAGGAAGGAGCTTTTCCATTCTGTGACTAGAGGTGTGTTGTGTCAGCCTGAAATCTTCGCAACCAGATTTTCATTTAGTATCCACTGGTGTCTGGATCCAGGCAGGACTCAGGTGCTTGAGATCTTGGAAGAATCATGATCTGCCTGCCCAAATGCCACCTTCAACTTGGAACCTCAGGCCACACCTTCCTGATCTCAAGAATAGAGAGGTTGGAATTCAACCTCAGAACAACCTGTTATCCAATCAAGACCTTAAATCAGTCTCTATGGTAACAACAAATAAGAGCAAACAACAAGAAATTCCAACAGGACAAAGGACTATCTTAATGTTTCTCCCACTTCAGAACTTGAGTGCCCCGCATTCCTTCCCCAAAAGTAACTGTCAACACTTGCTCACATAGCCTTCTAGAAGTATTGCATATACACAAGATTATATAAAAAAGAAATTGCTTCCTTATGGCAGATAGAGTCCTATGGCTTAGGTAGTCTGCCTTGTTTCTTCCCTTCCACCCAACATGAAATGATTTCTTTGGATGTTATTCTATTTCAAGACATATTAAGCTTGGCTAGACATTTTTTTCATTCAAAAGTTAATGTTGAATTTGAATTAAGATAAAACTAAAGAAGGTGGAGAGGTGGCTTGGTGGTTACAGCACTGGCATTCTTCCACAGAACCTGGACTTAGTTCCCAGGACCTACACGGTGGCTCATAACTCTCTATAACTCCAGTTCCAAGGGATCTAATGTCCTTTTCTTGCCTTCAAGGGCACAAGGCATGTATGTGTTGCACAGACATATATATATAGGCAAACACTCATATACATAGATCATAATTTTTTTAAAAGGTAAAGTCAAATTTTGTAGATCACACAATCTGAAGTGTGTGTAGTCCAGTGACTTTGACAAAGGAATCTACCCTGTAAGCCACACCCTGATTCCATCATCCTCCCCACAGAAGATTTTTCCTCTCTTCTAGAAATCTATGGGAAGGCAGGTCCTGGTTTGTCTGTGTGGACTAGTTTTTGCCCACTAAGCTTCACAGAAATGGCATCACACATTCATACCCTTAGGTCTGATTTCTTTTGTTTAACAAAATAAGTTTGAAATTTATTTTTCTTGCTGTGAATATTTGTTCACTTATTTTCTGTTGTTGTCATGTAGTACTCCATAATTTGCTAAAATTGTTCCGTTGGTGGACATTTGGGTGTTTCCAGTTTGGGGCTTTCATGAATAAAGCTATTATAAAAGTCTCTGGATGCTTTGTTTTTGTGAGCATATGCTTCTACTTCTTTTGAAAGGCCTGAGAGTGGGTCTCCATCTTTTAAACAGCTGCCTATGTTCCACTGTAAGCGTGCACTATGAAGTAAACAAGCCCTCTGTTGGTGGATACTTTGGTTACTTCCCATGTATGGCTGGGGCTATCCAAGAGAAATCAAATGTGAACAATTTGTGCACATAAGTAAGAAGACTATGCTTCCAGAATGACATGCTGGCTCAAAGGATGTGTATTTGATTCTGGGATACCAACATGAAGCAAATTGTTTTCTAGGAGGTTCTGTCTGTATGTTCTTAAGAGCTGTCTGTGCCTGGGCCTGTGTGCACAGACACCTGGGCAACTCTGTGTGGAATCATATTCAACTCTTGTTCTTTTATCTTTGAAAATGTTATTTTATGACATTCATTCATTCGTGTGATGCTAGGGCCTAGTGAATGCTAAATTCTACCACTAAGATATAAGTTATGTGTTTCTTTGCTTCATTTCTTTAAGTTGTGGACAGTGTTGGACATTTCCTTGTGCTTATAGTCTGTTTAATCTTTTCCTGTAAGGTTTCTATTTCTTGTTCATTTTTTTTTTTTTTAGAAAGGCTTTTTAAAGAGTTCTTTTCAGAGCCAGGCATTGTGGTGCATGGCTTTAATCCCAGCACTCGGAAGAAAGAGGCAGGAGGATCTCTGTGAGTTTGAGGCCATTCTGGCCTACATATCAAGCTCTGGGACAGCCAAGGCTACACAGAGAGACCCTGTCTCAAAAATACAAAAGAGAGAGAGAGACTGATTCTCATTTGTTAGAATTCTATATATTGAAATTAGCCATATGTCATGAGATTTTGTATACGGCTCTCTGAGACTACTCTTGTTTATTCTTTCTTTTCATTTTTGTCCCAAGCTAGACTCACATATTTTTCATAAGAATTTCTGAATCAGCTTCTCTGGTTCCAAAACAACTGTGCCTCTCTGGCCAGCATCTACCTCTCTGGCTCTGTCTTCTACTCCTTTGCCCACTCTCACCCCAGGGAGCCTTGACCTCAGCTCTATAGACAATTTGGATAAAATAGCTGTGCTGTAAGGAGTTGCTATTTGCTGCATGCTAATAGCAACTCCTTCTCCAGCTGTGACAACGAAAATGTCTCCAGACATTGCCACATGTCCCCAAGAGGGCAGAATGCCCCGTGACTGAGAGCAACTGACTTCCTTGCATCTAGTTGCACTGGCTTCTGGCTGTCCCTTCTCTGCCTCAAATCTTAGAAAAACTCCTTAAACTTCTTCAAATTGTATCTCCTC